CCTACTCCCTCCGTGTGTCCTCGTCCTCCCACCGACGTAGAGAGAGAGAGAGAGAGAGAGAAATGATCTTATAAGACCATCTCCTACTTATATGTGTAGGACCTCCAAAAGATTATCAATAAAGTTGTATGGATATCTAAAAAAGTCACCTCCTACATCCATGTGATAATTTTTTTAAAGATTTGTGTCAATTTTAATAGTGATCCTTTCAAGTTCTACACATAGGTAGTGGAGGATTTTATAAGATCATTACTCTTTTATTTATAATAATAATAATAATATTAAAAATAAAACATAAAAAAACAATCATGACTGTCTAACGGGAGTATGTGCACCCACCAAGTTTTATTTAACTAATGGGGAAGCTATCATTTGGGAAATTCGTATTATAGAACAAATTAAAAATAAAACATCACAAACAATAATGACTGTCTACTTTCGTTTAGAATCACTAGAAGGGAGTAGGTGCACCCATCAAGTTTCATTTAACAAATGGGGAAGCTATGATTTGGGAAATTCATCAAAATATTCTAATCTTTTAACAATTTACAGTTTTTTTAACTATTTCAATTTATGGTTATGTATATTTTAATAAATATTTTAAAATTAAATAAAAAATAAAAAGTTAAATACTTAAACTCATATAACAATTTTGATCAACATTCCTTTCTTAATTAAATAATAGGATTTGATATTATTTTCTTACTACTTTCATCCATTTATATGGACGACCCCAAATATTCCATGCCGGATACCCATTTTTTGAATCTAGACTATCCGTCAAACTCAAATAAAAATAAGACTCGGGACTTCTACGTAAAAAACAAAAAGTGGGCGTGTCAATGGGTGCAACTACTTTCGGCGAATAGTATTCAACTTCATTAAGAAGTATTATCTGGTTTTACCTTTTTCAAAAGGCCTTTTCAGGTTAAAATTAAAAGAAATTTTACATGAAACTGACAAGTGTGGTAATTAAGAATTTCTTAGCACTTCGGTGCAGCCAAAGTATAATTCTCCAAGAACTTTGTCCGTGCATTGGGGATTTATCTCTAATTAAAACAAAAACAAAAAAAGCATAGCATTATGATGAATACATCAATAGAACTTAAACAAACATTAAAATGATTTAAAAGTTTGCAACCGCATTCAAAATCAATAAGGGGTTCAAATCCAAATTATCATCAAAGGGTTTTACTTTCAAATTTTGGTATAGCTCATGTACTTTCTCAAAACTACAAAAATTGCTCTTGTTTCAGTGTTGAGATTCATGAAAAAGTAAAGGCATTTCAATAATTTAAGTCACACTGAACAAACAAGGGTACTTACATTATTTATTTGGAACCTCTCACACAAGTCAACTTGCTAAAATGCCCATGGTTGTTTGGTTTCCAACCCTTAACAATGACAACTTGGATATTTTTGAAAATCTATATTAGGATGCATCAAAGTGAAATAAAAATTTATAAGTAAACCCTCTAATGTTAATTGGATGTTTGATTTCTCCTTTTTGAGGCGTGTTTGGTGCTAGAAGTTGGCTTTACTTAAAACTATGAGGTTCTAAGTCCCTGTAAGCTAGAAATGTTGATATTTGGAAGTACTAAAATACTTATTTGATAACATCTTTGGAAGTTCTAAAGTATAAAAATTAGGCTTCATGCTCATCTAACAAAACTTTGAAATGAGTGTGTGTGAGAGAGATATGACACAAATAAAGAGAGGAAGTGAGATTATACACCTAATTCTTTCGACAGATGAGTGACAAGGCATGTAACTCCTCATCAACAAATGAGTAACAAGGCATGTAACTCGTCATCAGATACCATCTTCATGGAAGAGTTAATTCACTATGTTTTGCATCTCATTTAAATGCTCCATAATTGTCACATGCTCTTTAAATCAAATGAACTAGCTTTCGCATCAGGAAAACAATGTTGCTAGCTATTCTTTCTTTCATATAACATTCTCAACTTCTTCCATAGAGAATGTGTTGATGTTTTATTCAACACATGGTGAAATACGTTGTCATCTAAACATATTGTCGGATATACCCAACGGCTTTCCATTCTAGCTTCTTCCACTCATAATGTGTTATCTGTTTTAGTTTGGCTCCATCACCCTCAATGGGAGCGTATAGAGTTTTACACTTTGGAACTCTTCCATTTTACCCTTCTAAATTAAGTAATTATTTTCGCTTAAGCTAATTGCCATTGCTTGCATGATTCAGACATGATTATTTTTGTCTTCTTTTGGTTTTTTTTCTTTCAAAAGAAAAAACTGTACCGTATAACCAGGGTTCTGAAACCACTTGTTCGGGAAAGATAAAAATATGCGAATTTGCATAGAATTAGAAACCGACTATAGCACCAAGATTTACCTGAAAACCTTTCAAAGAAGGGAAAAAAAACAATAGGGCAGCACAAATGAAATCCACTGTGCAATAAAAGGAGTGGAGAAAAGCATGAATTGGGAATGAAACCCTACCTTGGGCCGGATCGAGTATCCCAGAACGAGCCTGAATAACCCAACCCTAACCGGCAGGTGGCTAGAATTGTTCAAAAAAATAAGATCAAGAATATCTTTAAGGAAAAATTGAAGAAAAGACATATGAGGTTAAAAAAATAGTGAAAAAAATGGATTTTGAAAATTCAATTTGTGATCCGGGGTATTTTAAAAATAATCCAGAATGAAAAGAAAAAAAAAAAAGTATCCATGGTCAAAACACTTTGAAAACTTTGCCAAAATGATAGAAAATATATATATATTTAAAAAAATACAAATACATTCATATTTTTTTAATACTTTTTTGAAATTTTTTAAGATCCCGAGGTTGATCACCAAAACAAGATGTAACCGAGCTTACTGGTTGGGTAGATCTAAAAACTGCATGCGTAGTAGAAAAATGCCCGACAAGGAAGCCTACTCGGGCAGGTCAAATAGTGGTCCAACCCTTGGCGGTTAGACGCTAAAAACCGCCTCATCCAGTGGGCGAGTCCGGGTGACCGGGACGAGTGTGGCCCTGAATAACAGCATCACAATAGTTATTCCCAAGTCCACCAGTCATAACTTGAGGATTCATGAACAAAAACTAAATAAATAAATACATGTTTACTTCTGTGTGATTAGTTCCTTTATCTTCTATTCCTTCTTACACAAGCAATCAACACTTCCTAACAAACCTTACTGGAGAATACGAGATTCACTATGTATGAAGTGCCAAACCTCTTGAGAAGTGTGGAAGAGAATTATAATTATATTTTTCCTCTTTTTCAAATTTACTATTTCTGAGTTTTATTTTCCTATAAAATAGCCTACTCCACTATAATTACTACATCCCATACAGGCTATGTTAGGGTACTTATATTATAAAGTATTTTATAATTGTACTTAATAAATTTTGGACTCGAAAGAATTTAGACATAGCACCAATAGGCGATAAAATGATAGAGAGTAGACATAGGTGGCCTGGCCATGTGTGGCTCCGACTATGTACAACACTTGTTAGGAGGTGGAGTTAGTTAAGTGGAAGGACTAAAAAG